AGTGTTCTAGGACGTGGTGGGTTTTCGCTTGGCAAGCGTTCTCCCTATAACAAGCCACAAATGTCCGCTTAACAATACTGCAACATGGCGGATGTGACTCGCTGCAAAATAAAGTCACAGCTAAGCATTTCACACTGACGCAGTCCTCGGCCTTCTACATCCTACCTGTGCAACTAATTCTGCTATGATGAATGCTTTGTTGGAGCACAGATCATCCCTATCGCGTATTGGTTATTGGTTGCAACAAAACCTTGTTTAGGCTCCTGTGCTCACGGATAACTACCGGACGAAATTACCCCCAACTTGTGTGTTGACGGATTTTTGCGCGCCACAGCGCCATAATGTCCTTGGGTCTGACTATTACCTGACAGTTTGCTCACTCATACGGACAACATCTTTTCTTTTATAACTTTCATTAAAACGAAATGTTTTAACATTCCACAGAAGCTATGCTTGTATGCATATTTGCTCACGCCTTTACAGGTGTGTCTCGTTTTACCGAGAATATACCATTTATTTATTTAGTTATTTATAATGTGTTAACAAGTCCAGCAGGTCCTACAGGTAAGGAAAACGTACAGCTGAGCCTCCGAAACCTGTACCGCAGAAGTATCAGTTACAAAGGAGTAGTTAGAGAGAAATAGACAGGTAAAGTGAGAATAGAGCACAGCACGGCAGTAAAGCTGGCCGTCCCATTGAGAAAGGAAGGAAAACAGCAAGCGAGATAAGAAAACGTTATAGTCGGCGTGAGAAGGGTTTATTTATGAAGGGTGGGAAAGCCCACGTGGCTTTACAGGGAATGTAAACAGATCCATTAGACTAGCCGAACCAAGAGGAAGGATGTCTCAGAAGTCCAAATGAATTCGGTGACTAGGAGACCGACTAAGCTGGACTGCATTACTCGGCACTTTGGGATTAAAGCGTAAAATATGGGTATGAAAACGGCTGTAAGTTTATAGAGTTAACAAGTCTAGCATTCACTCAAGGTAGTGGTAAGAGTGTAAAGTCTGTGGAGCCTATACCGTAAAAAGAAGAGCGGGACAATACGCAACGAAAGCGCACCGTTTCAAGGTCCCTTCGTGGTCCACCTGATACCTCAGTTAAGGGTGACAACGCACTTATGGATACTTTTGTGCAAGCATCAAATTTTCCATCTAGTTGCGGAAGATTTCAACCTGCCTGAGTTAAACTGGTTCTCAGCTGCTGCAACAACGAAGTATGCTGGCCTACTAGCATGCATCAATTTAGGCGGCTGGACGCAACATGCGTCTGCTCCAACCAGAGCAGAACATATTCTTGACCTAATATTTACGCGAGTCGCAATCGGTCGGGAGTTTCCGGGTAGTGATCACAGATTAGTACATTACTCAGTTCAGTTAAAGCAACATAACGCTTACCCAACTTATACAGATGCAGTCGTAGTATACCGCCCGTTGCAACTCGTCAACTGGACAACTTTTGCTGTACTCGTCCGATCAAGAAATTGGGATGAATTCTTTATGTCTGATTCTGTGGATCGCTCGGCTGAGCTGTTTCATGAGGAACTACTTCACTGTTTCGACTCTTTGGCTTCCATGTCACGTTTAATAAGACACTCATCTAAAAGTGTGACCAAAACCAGGATGCATAACAGAATGCGTCAGCTTAGACGATCCTATAAAATATCTTCAATTTTGCCCACATCATGAGAGCGAACGAGATTGCACATCAGTTTTCTGCCAGAACTAAGCAGCCGCAAATCAATCAAGAATTAGCCGCACTAAATAGTGCGAACGAAGCTAAGGGTCCCAGCTGGCTGCTGCGCTCTCGGACCCCTAACTATGGACGACAGATCTCTACCCTAAAGAAAAGTCCCCACGACACTACTAGTAACGCAAGCATTTTATGTGGTCTTCAGCTCACATTTTAAAGAATCGCAGTGTTTAGAAAAAAGTTCAAACTTGCAGTCCATGCAAGTACCCGGTAGCCAATCCTTGTCCTCTGTACAGTTTGCTATGATTAGTGTCCGTTCTGCGGTTTCAACTACCAAGCCATCCTGGAACCCTGGTCCAGACGGAATGCCGCCCGGACTACTTAAGAATGGTGGTGAAGATATCCCTATTCTTCTTTTGAAACTCTTTACGTTATCAATGCATAAAGGTCAATTCTCGACTACTTGGAAACACTCCATCATTATGCCAAGGCATAAGGGCGGAAGCCTACAGGAAGTTGGTAAATATCGCCTAATTGACCACACTTCTGTTATCTCGCGCGTGCTGGAGAAGTTGATTAAAAGCCCTGATGACTCACCTTTATGCAGGCGAGCACAAAGATGAATCTCAGCACGGGTTTCTAAATGCTCGGTCTTGTGCAACCTGTCAGCTGGACTTCCTTAATTTTATCCCCGAGGTCACTGACTCTAACCTTTCAGTTGTCATTCTTTACTTTGATATGCAAAAAGCGTTTGACAGGGTACCACACGCGCGTCTGAAGCATAAGGTAAAGGATTATGAAGTAGACAGTCGTCTATTAAACTGGTTGGGTTCCTATCTAATAGGACGTACGCAGTCTGTTATGTTTGAGCAAACTATATCCACCCCGACCGCCGTCCCCAGTGGTGTGGTGCAGGGGGCGTTCTTGGTCCTACCCTGTTTTCGATACATATCAATGACCTCTGCAGGAGTTCGCAACACGGTCGCTCCTTTACCTCTGCTGACGACGTAAAAGTTGTCCACGTCTTTCCTCCAAGTAACGAATTATCCGCAATCATTACTATCTGTGAGGATCTTAAAGCACTTGAAAAGTGGTGCGAATACTGGCAAATGACCTTCTCCGCTCAATAATATAACGTCATGACCCACGAATTTTCTATACCTGCTGGGTCCTTAACAAAAAACGGCATCACTATCAAACAGAATGTTATGACAACAGATCTGGGATTGCACAACACCATGAGCCTCAACTTTGCGGAGCAAGTTTATTATCAAGTAGCAAGGGTACGGGGATTATGGGTCCACATACGCCGTTACATAAAACCGCAGATGCAAGGCTAGAACTTTATAAGAGACACGTCAGACTACATCTGGAATATTGCTATTTTATTTGCAGCAACCTACGGAAGTCGGACCCTGTTCTGCTGGAGAAAGCTCAGCGACGCTTTACGAAGATGTTGACTCCATCACAGCAAGCACTGAGTTACCGACAACGGTGTGAACCCCTTAAAATTCAGCCCCTATTGCAAAGGCGCATTATTCTTAACCTGTGCTATTTACATAAGCTAATTCAAAGAAATCTGCCCAGTAATATCACTTGTCTTAAACTAAGGAGCGCAGCTGAATCTAAACCCCGCAACAAGGGCCGTTCCATTACTCCGCTAAGAGCAAAGAAGAGACTGCGATCTCGTTTCTTCTAAGTCAAGTAGGTAAACATATGGAGCACGTTGCCTTCCAGAATAAGAGAAGTCCAACGCTTGCAGGTATTCAGGAAGGAGATACAAAGATTCCTATGTTTTGGCAATATACAAAGCATCTTCCATATCTGCGATTCACAAGAGCACTTCTTCGTAGCTGGCGCTGATGCAGCTTGAGGACGCCCAAGATGTAATGCATGACATCTAAGCGCCTTGAGATCAAAACACATCCACATTCAGCAAAATACTATATATCTTTCATATTGTTGACAAAGAGAGCATTTCAAAAGTTTTAGGCTCAAGAAGCAGACATTTTGCTCTCCACTTATGCTCTCTTGGCCCCAAATACTTAGCTTTATCTGGTATACATGTGCCTTTCACTATTGGCAACACTAGTAGACAGACGTAATGTAAACCAGATCCTCTTCTTTAACTGCTTTTGCTAGTAACACACACGCTATTCACTGGCACGAAAGCTAACCAACGACAGAGAGGATCCGGTCACACTGGCTGGTTGGACCACCAGAAATTTTCCATCACCACCTTTCTTATCTTGACCGCCCGTATGTTATTTAGCTTTTGACTGGCTCCAAAGCCCACCATGCGTTATGCGTAATGGCGGGTGAACGACCAGCTCCCGCTGGTTTTTGTTACTACTCTACTCCTGATTTACTTTATCACTCTTTGCTTAGGGTGCTAGAGCAGCTCTTGCCAGGAAAAACACAAAAGAAATAGCCAGTGTGATAGCAGAGTACTAGTTAACATTGTCATCTAGATGAACACCGCTGGCACTTGTTTCTGAACTTAATATTGGGGTGAAATAATTCGAAATTCTTACAAGAGCTGCACAGTAGTGTTGTAGGACTAGTTAATACTAGTCCGTGACGATGCGCGTAATTAAGCGCGGATATCAGAAGGCAATGGAAGTCGGACACAGCGGACTGTATTCGATGGGCTAGAACAAGAAACGGACGGATGAAGCGAAGCAAGAGCGTACACGTGAGCGCGGGGACTTACAAGGCAGTTCATAATGGCCGTAGAGTCGGCATTAAAACAAAAAGCAATATTTTATGACTGGGTAATAAAAGTGTACAAAAAACAAGAAATATCTTTTGGGTTGCTACAGAGCTCCCCTTCTAGAAGGCTGAACGAAGAAGCCTTCGAAATCAACTGGTTGTGGATCCAAAGTTTGCAAAAGTTTCTGGTATACAAAGAAGAGTCTGCTCGGGATCGAAAAAAATGTAGCCGAAAATTTGTATCCGCTGTGCCGTCCGGTCTTTATTATTTATTGATTGCAGGGCAGGGTGCATTTCGGCGAGCCGTTGGAGCGGGCTTGTCGGACTACAAAAAAACTGGCTAGTCCAGAAAAAGGCCGACAGGACCTCAACCTCCGCTGCTGCCAAACGGTGCGCTTGGGAGTGGTCTCTCCCCCCGCCGCACCCCGCCCCGCGCCATAACGACCCTCGTCCCACGAAGAAAACGACCATGGTCCCACGGAGAAGCGACCCTCGTCTCGCGGAGAAGCGACCCTCGTCCCGCGAAGAAGCGACCCTCGTCTCACGGAGAAGCGATCCTCGTCCCGCGAAGAAGCGATCCTTGTCCCGCGGAGAAGCGATCCTCGTCCCGCGAAGAAGCGATCCTTGTCCCGCGGAGAAGCGATCCTCGTCCCGCGGAGAAGCGACCAGTGTTCGCGTCAGGGTCCTCGAAAAGATTCCTCGTGTGGGCCAGTCGATCGAAGGGGAGGGTTGGGGCATGTAAAGACGAGAAAATAGAAAAACACGCGCAGAAAACGCCAAAAAGTACAAACGAACGAGCTGCGTGTTTAAATATTTTTTGGTTTTTGAATATTTTTTTCGAAAAAGGTTTTTCGGGGGTTTTTGATATTTTTGGTTGTTTTCAAAACGTTAATCGACCAAAAACGAGGCAAATATATACAATATCTACAAAGTTAAAAGTATTTACACTGTACATAGTCGGAGAAGCGAACGGGCTTACGTACCTCCCGACCACGGCGATTGGTCGTGGGAGGCGGCGGGCTAGATTCGGGAGAGGTTGGGACGGCTTGTAGACCGAGATCGTGGTCTGGTTGAACTGGACTAGGATGAGGTAAGTTGGTGCGATGAGTTGTAACGTCGCACGAAGCACTACTAGACGAAGTAGGCGAGGGGTTTTCTTCCATAAAGGCGGGTTTTAGACGGTCGATGGTGACGACTTCGTGTCGACCACCGCGGTCAATAGTGTACGCCTTACTCGCACGATGCAGCACCTTGAAGGGTCCTATGTACGGCGACTGAAGAGGCTGTCGAACACCGTCTGCGCGAAGAAGGACGTGTGAACACGTAGACAGCTTTTCGGGCACGTACACTGGTGTCTTCTGCGATCGAGGAGCGGGTGGACGTAGCTCACGCATCTGATGAGCCAATCGGTCAGTGTAACTTCCGTAGTCAAAAGTGGAAGTACATGGGGCTGGTGCTACCAGCTGTCCGGGTAACCGCAGCGTGCAACCGTAGACTAGCTGCGCTGGCGTGGCGTCGAAATCGGTTTTAACAGTGTTTCTTATGCCTAGGAGAACGAGGGGAAGTGTTTCAGACCATGAAGGATCTGCGTGCGCACGTAGCGCTGCCTTCAACTGGCGGTGAAAACGCTCCACCATGCCGTTAGCGGCCGGATGATACGCCGTCGTCTGGACGTGGCGACAGCCTAAATCCTTAAGCAACATGGCAAATGTCGACGAGAAATGTGACCCTCGATCGGTGGTCACGATGGCGGGACAGCCGTATTGTGCTACCCAGCGCTCCATAAAAGCTTTCGCTACCGTTTCCGAGGAGCAATTTGGGATGGGGACGGCCTCAGGCCATCTAGTAAATCGATCGATGCAGGTCAGTAGATATACCGAGCCTTTGGAAGGCGGCAGAGGACCTACGAGGTCGACGTGCACGTGATGAAAACGTGCGTCTGGCGTCGGAAACGTGCCTAATGGGCTTCTCGTGTGCTTGTGTACCTTCGCGCGTTGACACGGAAGGCAAGCAGCTGCCCAAGTACGGACGTCCCGATTAACATTGCGCCAAACGAATCGTGCGGTTACGAGTTTAACCGATGCACGAACGCCTGGATGAGACAAGCCGTGCAACGCGTCGAACACGGTCTGCCGAAACTCACGTGGGACGACTGGGCGCGGCGTGCCCAGAGATAAATCGCAGAGTATAGTGCCGTCTGATGATGTCAGCGGAACGGGTCGTATATCCAATGAGGGAGACCTGCGTAGTAGTTCAACCTCAGGATCGTTGAGTTGTGCTGTGGCCATGGCTGCCAAGTCGATAGCAGTGCCGGCGTCAGCGGAGATAGCTTGAATGCGGGAAAGTGCATCGGCGACGGCGTTGTGCACACCTGAGACATGCCGTATATCGGTCGTAAACTGAGCGATATAGTCAAGGTGGCGCGACTCTCTAGGAGAGTATCGGTCGGTAGTCGAGCCGAGCACGTAAGTTAGGGGTTTGTGGTCGGTGAAGACGACAAAGGAGCGGCCTTCTAGGACGTGTCGAAAGTGACGTATCGCTAGATATACGGCAAGTAGTTCTCTACCGAACGTGCTGTAGCGAGATTCGGTAGGTTGTAGGCGTTTGGAGAAAAACGCTAAGGGCTGCCACGTGTCGGCTACGCGTTGCTGCAAAACAGCGCCGACCGCGACGTCCGAGGCGTCAGTACTAAGGGACAGTGGGGCGGTCGGATCGTGATGCGCTATGGAAGCTATGTTGGCGATAGCCTCTTTCAGCGACTTAAAAGCAGCGCGTGCTGCGGTAGGAAATTCGAACGTCTTGAGTTTCCCTCGGAGAAGGTCCGTGAGGGGTTGCATCAGAGAGGCGCAGTTGGGTATAAATCGACGGTAAAAGTTGACCAGGCCATCAAAACGCCTGAGCTGCTTGAAAGAATGAGGCTCGGGGTAGTCGATGATGGCTTGAATTTTATCTTGCAGTGGCACGACGCCTGCAGAAGAGATACGATGGCCCAGGAAATTAACTGAATCGACACCAAACGAACACTTTTCTGCGTTGATCGTCACCCCGTGTTGAGATAAACGATCAAAAAGTGTTCGTACGTGGCGTATGTGCTCTTCTCGTGAAGAGCTTGCGATTAATATGTCGTCAAGATACGCGTAAGCGAAGTCTAAGCCGCGACAAACTTGGTCGATGAAACGCTGAAAAGTTTGCGCGGCGTTCTTTAGACCAAATGGCATACGCAGAAACTCGAACAAACCAAATGGAGTCGTCACGGCAGTTTTAGCGATGTCCGCCTCGGCTACCGGAATTTGGTTGTATGCGCGTACCAAGTCGATTTTGCTGAAGATATTTTTACCCGCCAGACTGGCGGTGAGATCCACTATGTGTGGGATCGGATAGCGATCAGGCGTGGTTACCGTATTCAAGGATCGATAGTCGCCGCAAGGACGCCAGTCCCCCACAACCTTCTTCGGGACCATGTGCAGAGGCGACGCCCATGGGCTGTTGGACGGTCTGACGATACCAAGTTGAAGCATGTGGTCAAATTCGGCTCGTGCTGCCCGTAGTTTGTCTGGAGCAAGCCGTCTTGGTCGTGCGCTAACTGGTTGACCGCGCGTAACTATGTGGTGAGCGACCTCTGTCGTGACTGGTGGAAGCTCTGCAGCCGGTCGAACCAGTCGCGGGTATTCGGAGAGGAGGCTCAAGTAGTCGGACGGTGCGTCTGCGATCCGAAATACAGGGCTGATTACCGGGGCATCTGAAAGGACACCATCAACACCTAGTTTCGTACGGTCGTCTAAAAGCCTGTGGCGACCAGCATCAACAAGCAACCCAAAATGTCGGAGGAAGTCGATACCGATAATTGCGAAGGGTACAGACGCAACCATGAAGACCCACTGAAAATCTCGGCGAAGATTGAGGTCCAGGTTCATCATGCGCTGACCGAATGAAGCTATCGGAGAACCGTTCGCCGCACGCAAATTGTACGTAGGCTCTGAGTGCTTGTCGTTAGCGTTCGCTGGGATGACGCTGACTTCCGCTCCTGTGTCGATGAGGAACGTGATGGAAGAACGTCGATCCTTAACGTAAAACAGTCGGTTTACTTGGTTATCAAATGATTCGTTTGTAGTGCTAGTATGCGGGCTATTCGTTTTCCCTGGGTCGTGCCTAATGCAGGGAGCCCGACAACGTCTAGCTCTTCCACCGTATTGGCGGTGATACCAACATACTTCTTCGACGGGCTTGACATTATCTGACTGAGAACTTGTAAGGAAAATGTTGCGCTTTCGTGCCGAACGTGACGTACTCGGTGCAGGCACAGACGAGCCGCAATGAACGGTAGCCAAAACGTGGTCAGCATTTGACCGTGGCACCCGCTGCTTCGAAGCCTTCATTGCTGCTATCCTGCTACGAAGTAGCGCCATTTCCTCGTCTTTAGAGTCCGATCGGTCTAGCGACTGGGAACAAACATGTGATTCGGTTTTCATCGGTGAGAATATGTCACCGGAGTTACTGGTCGTCTGCTGCGGAAAACGTTCGAACGCAGCGTCTGCCTTGGTAGCTAAGTCTTTCAAGGGTGCATCTATAAACATGGACAGCATTACCGGCAATGGCTCTGGGAGACGTGCAAACCACAGCTCCTTTATCCCTTCTTCGCTTAAGAATAAGGGACCAGCGATGCGCTGAAGTTCGCGGAGCAATGCCGACGGCTTGCGATCTCCAAGCTTGAGACCATTGAGCTGCTCAAATCGTGCTCGTGCGCTGGGTCGTAGCTCTTTCAATACCGCTTGCTTCATCGTTTCATACTTTGCCTCATTCGATGGGCAGAGTAGAATGTCCTCAATCAGCGTCACTACCGACGGAGGAAGGCGTGGGACGAGCTGATTGTACCTTGGACGGTCCGCCGTTATGCCCTTATTTTCTAGTTCGATCTCGAATATCTTAAACCAAACTTCTGGACTGTGTTCCATGAAACTTGGAACAGCCAAAGGAAGCATGGTTACGCTGTGAAACGACTCAGATGCAACTCTCGAAATGTGAGTCGAAAGGTAAAGAACGAACAAAATACGATAAAAGTACCAAAATTACGCAAGAAACAAATGAATATAGGTATATAATCGAGAAAAAGGAACGAACTCACCAAAAAATACAAACGAGAAAAAATGTTGAATTCGCGCGTGCGAATCGGGGTCACCAATTTGTAGGACTAGTTAATACTAGTCCGTGACGATGCGCGTAATTAAGCGCGGATATCAGAAGGCAATGGAAGTCGGACACAGCGGACTGTATTCGATGGGCTAGAACAAGAAACGGACGGATGAAGCGAAGCAAGAGCGTACACGTGAGCGCGGGGACTTACAAGGCAGTTCATAATGGCCGTAGAGTCGGCATTAAAACAAAAAGCAATATTTTATGACTGGGTAATAAAAGTGTACAAAAAACAAGAAATATCTTTTGGGTTGCTACAGTGTGCTTCAACCCATGAGGCATAACAATATAGCAAGCTCGAGGAAGCTCAACCCCCCAGAAGTAGAGTTGGTAATGTCCCATCAACGCAGACCAAAATGGATTTCACACCCCAAAGCAATTTGCGAAATTTTACTAAATTTCCCCATACTCATTTCTTTATTATTAGTGACAGGCTCTAATCCTCTAGCTCAATTATGTTTTAGCCATAGCCTCAAGAATATAGGAAATCGGCTCTAAGAGATAAAACTCGCGCTGTTTAGCTAAGAAATGTGCGTATTTTCCGGGCCAAAATGTGTCAACTGATCCGAAAAGTCTCCTATGTTACTCAGGTAAACCTGTCTCACGCTGCCTTGATATAAGCTGCAGAAACACTTAGTGGCTTAAAAAATACTAAACTCTAAATTCCTAATTGTTTATGTGGCTCAGTATCCACTGAAAATTTTATGCTGAGATCTTCTAACAGTGGGTTAATTATAAGCTCTCCTAAATCTTCATGCAATCATAACATTCCTTACTGGATTTCTAGCGTTTTTGAGCAGAATTAGACCTTATTTGCGTATATTTGCCAGTTATGCCTGCAAAGGGTACTTTTCGGCCACATACGCAGTTCCCAGTTGTTGTAGGGTAGTACGGGCTAAATAGAGCATTTCCGGATAGCTATGTTTATTTAGAACATATACCGCTTCGCTACTTATTACACTCTCTTTTCTTTTTTCTACTATCTGCTTTTAAAGCAGAAAACCATTTTTAGCGAAAAATGGTAATGGTTTTATTCGTAGACCACCATTCAATTGCGAATAACTTGCAAACTACTGCACGTATTGCATTGTCTTTACTTTCAACGTAATCAGCCGTTAAAAGTTGTCCAGAGCAGATTATTTTTGTGCTACATCACGCCGTATTCTAGCCTTATAAAAGGTTCTTTTTCTAAGATTTGCTCAGGTAGAAATTTCGTCCCAAAAAGCAATATCAGCGCAAGAAAAGTTTGGCTACATTCTTTTGATATTTTGTAATTTTTCTAGTGAATCACGCCGCCTTCGTATGTCTCTTAACAGGTTTTTTTTATTTTCATCTGCATCTCTCAAAATTATTTTTTACACTTTCGTATCTCTTATAATTCCGCTACTTTCATTTCTTCCACGGGCGCACCAACCATTGTGACGATTGAGCGGGCCAACAAGAGTCCAATGTATTTAAAGCGAAGTTGTGGTGAATTGGATCCTGTTCCAAAGAAAAGCGGCACGACTACACCTCCGCGCAGCTTTCACAACAAAAGAACAAGGAGCTCAATATCGCCCGAAAAAAACAGAAAAATTTCAAGGTGGGCGCCTGTGACCCCAACAGCTGTACACCAAACAATGCCAATGCATTTGTAATTGCCAACCAGGAACATATACACGTATTTTGCCTACTTCTATGCAAGTGCATCGGATTAATGTAAAGATCGATCTGAACCCTTAAGGATGCAGCCTCTAGCCGGTCTAGAAATATCCCTATTTATTTATTTGTTTTGCACGTCATACATCATGCTGTCTCAAGTCTAAACGCCTTAAGTTAAGCCTTCCACTCTTCTTGTCCATTCTGTCTTCTCTCAACATGTTCCACATTTTCCCATTTCGCCGGATTCGGGAACTTTATTGAGATCCGGCAATGGACTGAGGAACTGCCTCCGTCTGAGAAGGGAAGAAGTAACTAACATGGACTCACTTGGACCATGGCCTTATACCAAAGCAAACCAATTGCATTCAACATGACTGATATCCAGTGAGGATAGCTGGACGCGAATTTATCACACTCCAGAAAGTATACAAAAACGGAGAATTTGCGACCCCAAGTACTTTAGCAATTTTGCTCACTCCACAATTATTCGCGGTGCTCGACTGGCCTCAACCTATATGGCGGGTCCTGACGGAGTTATCTGACCAGGCAACAGAGGGATCATTCGACTGCGAATAACAGTAAAAAAGGGTTGATAGGAGACTTTGCCAGAAGTACATGACCGTACCAATCAATTGACAACAGGGTTCCAAGTCATGGTGGCTTTTCGCCCGGCAAGCGTTCTCCCTATAAAAGCCACAAATGTCTGTTTAACAGCCCTGCGACGTAGCGGATGGAAGACACCACTGAATAAATTCACTGCTCACAACTATAAACCGGCAAGTCAACTACAGTTCTTATTCAATAGTTGCTTGATGCCTGCAAGAATAAGAGGCTCCCTGTCTACATCTGCAGTTTTCCGTACACATATAATGCCCTGACATTTTTGCACTACGCACAATTGAACCCAATGTATCGTCGTTCATTGATAACTTTATTCCTCAGGTTTACTTCTTCCATTTCGGCAGCCTGTACATATTTCAGCCACTGCCGCTTACATATATAGCAACGTGTTATATAAATAAATAAATAAATATTTTATTCTCGACTATGCGAGGCACGCCCATGGAGGCATGATCAGATATGTACAACTTTACAAACATTTTATGGCAACTGTGACAGTGACAGTAGAAAATTGTTCATATGTCCATGATTAGAACTGTACTATGGTGAAAAAGCGAAACAATAATTTGGCTGTCATGAGATACGGGAACTCAGCTAATAATAGATTGAGAATCCTGAATGATCCATTGGAAGGTAATGGAAGAGCACGCTCAAGAGATATATGCCAATAGAGTGAGTTCGTGCAGAAGTAAGTCAGAGGTCAGCGTATCGTAGGAAGTAAAAAGACGACAGTATATGCAGATGTAGATGTTCCAGTGTAACGAACCTAGCTAGAATTGTGACGCCAGTGTGAAGTTATGGGCTGTGACTTTATTCGGTAGCGGGTCACGTACGCCACGTTGCATTCGTGTTAAACGGACAT